CTCCTTGCCTCTCCCATCCGCGGAGCCATGGCGCCTCATACTCGTGCCGTGTAACGTTCGGACCTTGTCTCGCCCGTCATCCACCCTTCCTCTTCAAGCGAGGATGGGGCGACGAGGATGAGGACAGGGAAATGACGAGGATGGCGACGGGGTGACGACGAGGACGGTGACAGGGCGACGACGAGGATGACTATGAGGACGACTACAAGGGTGACTATGAGGGTGACTACGAGGGCGACTACAACGGTGACTACGAGGGCGACTACAATGGTGACAACAAGGGCGACTATGAGGGTGACAATGAGGGTGACAACAACAGGGTGACAACAACAACAGGGCGACAACAACAGGGCGATGGCAAGGATGGCGACAGGGTGAGGAGGACAACGACGACATGACAATGGCAAGCAGGGCGAGGACGGGGCGACAGGACGACAGGGCAACGAGGACGATGACGGGACGAGGGAAAACACTGTGCAAGGATGAACACGGTGCCAACCACAACCATGGAACGAGTACGACGACGAGCACAGCACAAGGCAAGAGAAGCACAACGAGCATGGCAGGAGGGCAAATGAGGCCAGCGCAGGGCAGGGTCCACCCGAGCAGAAACAGTGCATCCATGGCACACTGTTTCTGCTCGTTTTCTCTATATCTCACAGCGGGTGGCTAGTAGAGCCACCCGCACCCTGTATTTATTTTAATCACAATTTAATATGATTTTTTCTAACAATTTTTGGTGTGGCCTGAAAATGACTGAGCTCGCCGAACGTCGTAATAGACAATGGCGAGCATTATTTGCCCCAAGCTATTCTGGGAATGCTCGGGAGCTTTAGGGTAGTACTAAAAATAACCGATGTCCGGAAAAAGGCTGCGTCATCCAGATTGCCCCCATCCAATCCAGCCTATCCTGCCCCCTCAACAGCAGGGGAAATGGTGCACAACGTTGAGGAAATATGTTTCCTCGTCGTTGGCACCTTTTCCCCACCAAAACGGGGGCAGGAGCACCACAAACAACGAGGAACAGTGTTCGGCCACTGTTTCCTGCATTGTTTGTATGTGTTGACAGGTCCTGCCCACAGCTGCGAGCCCCGGCAGATCTGGCAAGGCCATCCCAATGAACTCCAGTAGGTGGACTGTAAAAACACAGTCCTGATCTATGAGGCTACCCTGTAAAAATACAGTGTTTGATATAGAAATGTAGCGGACATGGCTGCCTGAAGGAGGCACTCACACAGTTCCTTCCATCCGACCAGGAGCCAATCCAACTTTTGCTGGTCCTCAGAATGGTCAGATCCATTTCTGAGCATATACCAAGCAAAGCTAAGTGGGTCTGCGTACTTTCCGTCAGCCTTGAATGCTTGATTATAGGTATCATAGGCATTGGAGCTGATCTCCTTCCAGCTTTCGAGCTGCATTTCGCTGGTATGATTTGGCCCAGACGTGACGCCAAAAAAGCGGACCTGGGGTGTTGTTTGGCTATCTGAGGCATTGCCAGACTCATATGAAGGTGCGTTGACAGTAATGTGCTTTGCGTCAAAGTTCAAATGTCTAATAGTTGTTCCATCTCCACTGACAGTGAAGCCTACGAGACGTTAGAGCATGCAACGAGCATGGTACGTGATTGACTTACCCTTTTCCCTCTCAATTTCATGCACCATTTGTAGCTTTGCAGCGACTCCCCCTTCTTTGATAATCCGCCCTACTGTGCGCTCCGATATCGCATTGCAAACATGGATACCGAGCCATCTGCCGACTGTCTGGATAACAGAATCGATGCTACTGTCTGGTACACGGGCACTGGACAGTTCCATAATCATTTCGCGTCCGCTGTTGGTAACAACTCCTTTATGCTTGAGTTTCATAGCTCTGGGCTAAGAGTTCGTGTTCCGGAGAATTCTCTTCTCTCCAAGGGCTTGCTGGTAAGGCAAGCAGCTCACCTTCATCCGAGCAGCATGTTTTTGCTTGCTTAGCTCGTTTCGGAGACTGTTGCGTGTTTCCTTTGCTTGTTTGGCCTCCTTGGTGCGATTCCTGAGTTTCTTGACAATCTCTGTGAGTTTTTGTGTTGAGTTTTCGAGTTTTTTCTGTAGTATTGACACCGTATTTGCAAGAGAGGAGGTGACTGCTTGTGGAGCTGGAATATTGGTGTGGTGTTCTTTTGGGGCCATTTTTCGCACGTTTATTGATGCCATAGAGGTGAGAGAGTGTGCCTTTTGCAGGGCGCTATGTTTCTGGGGCATGGTGGACGTGCAAATGCGCGAGCGCGAAGAGGTGAAGTTGACGCGTCACACTTTTCAGGTTTTTGCAGAGTGCGTCCTTCCATTTTGGGAAGCATCCACCCCTGGGATGGTCACCCAAAGTCAAGACTTCAGTGTTGCTCACTGGAGACACTTCTGCAGCCAGAAAACGGGTGGGATATGTTTTTTTCGTCGCTTTATTCAGTTTCTCTCGTGTACTTTTTTTTACTTTTGTCCTCAATCATGAGATATATGTCAGAAATGGTATGTTTTTTGAGAATGAGGAAACATATAAAAATTCTACATGAAAGAATATGTTTATCCTATCATAAAGTACTCATTCCAGTATTTATTTCAGCCCTCAGTTACACCGTTGTGGCTACACTGGGAGAGGCCATCCACCAAGCCTGTGTCGGAGTTTGAATTTGGCTGGGCATTGTGGGTCCCCAATAGGATGTATATGCTTACCACGGCACATGATCATGTTGGGCACAGAGGCTTATTCGCTACTCGCATGTTAATAACGCAAAGGTTTTGGTGGCCCGAGATGGAACGAGATGTCCATTGGTTTGTGAAGATGTGCGGGCATTGTCAAGAAAGGCAAAAGACCCTACTTTGCATTCCCCCTTCAGTAACACACACCCCTTCAATCTTCCAAGTCTTACACACAGATATTATGTCTATGAGCGTAGCTTCAAATGGCTGTAAGCATATTGTCCATGGCCATGATAACATGATGCAGTGGATGGAAGCTAGGGCAATCCAAAAAACAGACGCTCGTGCTGTTGCAATATGGCTATATGAAGACATCATTTGTAGATGGGGCTGCCTAACGGAAATCGTAACCGATAATGGAGGTGAATTTAGTGCGGCAAGCAGGTGGATCACCGACAAGTATGGAATACCCATGATACACATTTCACCCTACAATTCCAGCACTAATGGAAGTATAGAAAAACCTCACTGGGATGTGAGGCAAATGCTCTATAAGGCAACAGGAAAAGAAAATGTACACTTGTGGTACTATTTCTTACATGCAGTAATGTGGGCGGACAGGGTTACCATTAGAAGGTGTCGTGACCCGTCCCCAGCTCCTGGCACAATTATCCAGCTCCTGAGACTGTATCCAGCTTCCGAGGCTTGTGGTAATGAGCCGTGCTCTTCCGGGATGCTTCCGAGACATCTGGGAATGAGCCGTGCGCTTCCGAGGCACTTCCGAGGTGAGCCATGTTTCTGGCTCACTCCATTGTGTCTCCCAGCCATTGTCCCATTGTCCTTCATTGTTCTTCTTGTCCTGGCTAAGTTATCTATTACATAATCATGGTCCATTATTCTACATAGCATAAATACCCATGTACAGTAGTAGATTCCTCAGTTGGAATATCAAACTCGACATACATCCTCTTTGCTCTAGTTCACTGCCGGAATCCAGCTCCTCCCTGTTCATCCGAAATCGGGGACACCCAGACGTTGCGTGGTGGTGCAGCTGCCCTTTCCATCAAGCTGAAGCCAAGTCCCCACCCCATCTGGCACGGTCGTTACAGAAGGACAAAAGGTTGTTCTCCTTACTTTATGGTCACGGGTGCGCACCCAGTCCTACCTTTAGATGTAGCTGAAGCCACTTGGTTAGTCACCAAAGGTTGACTGAACACTTCTATCAGCCAGATACATGTATCAAATGCTGTGTTTAGCCAGTGTGAACTCATAGATCAGGACTGTGATTAAGCAGTCAGGTTTTCCAAGGCTGCTGGGGTGAGTTTGCCGGGGATGCTGGGGCCATAGGGATTTGTTTGGGGGCGGGAGGGGGTAAATAAATGACCAAACAATCCTCCCGGGGGTGGGGCGGGGGTAGGGTAGGCCTGGTAAGGGTAAAATCATCCGAAACAGGCAGGGATGGTGGGGGATGCATGATAGGGGCTAGTGGGATGGCAGGGTGGGTTCTGGGTGCGGCAGAGGCCTAAAAATGGTTGGGCAGGGCTAAATATGCATGCTAATAATTGTCATGGCCCCCACGGGGTGCAGGATGGGCTGGGGGAGCCAAAAACGCGAAAAATCCAGAGACTTTTGCATTTTTAATACAAAACAATTGAATAACAAATTGAAAACTTAATATTTCGCTGTGAAACTTTGGGGACCTTTGTATCCATGGTGGAGGGTGCTTCATGAATATTTTGAGTATTTATTATGACTTATGAGGTGCGCCACACAGCCAGGAATAGTGTGCACAGCAGGGTTTGATGCGCTTTGCCAAATTTGGCAATATTGTGATGCCTGCACATCCATGCATAATTCTGGCTCCCCCTTGCATTATTTTGCTCAGCCAAAGCTAAGCGAAATGTTGGGTACATTGATGCCTTCATGTAGACCCTTTGATCGCATGAAACGGGTGAGAACTCATTGAGATATGACGAACACAGTTTTGGCCACTATAATGCATGGTGCACCCATGCATCCTCAGGCATGTTTAGGGCCATCTAGCTTGGCCAAAAATTATGGAATACATGTCTGAGAGTAATAGTACCATTGATAATGCCAGGGGGTGTCTGGGTGTAGTATATCTGAGGGGGGGTATAGGTACACCAGGAGACCCACTCTGGATACCCCACTAAACGTACCTCTGAAAGTCTGAAAGTTGGTATGTGGATAATATATATTTATTCATGAATTTAACATATTTTATCATAATTTTATATTGCCTTGAAGCTGGGTTATTGACCGATTTCCCACGAGCTGAAATATTCTATTGACCTCCAGGAGGGGGGATATTGGCAAATGTAAAATCATGATAAATGACAATAAATGGATAGGAGCAGAACAAGGTACTTGTGAGAGCAAGGGGATGATTCTGTGTAAAGTTATTAAGGGGAGAAGGAGGAGGTAATCCTCCACATCAGTATCTATCTATATACTTACCAAATCCACATATCGCACTCATTTGATGGTGCGTTCGGGTCAGGAGAGTGTCCCTTAGCATGTTTCAGTAGTGACAGATGAGGATCCGAGGCCTGGGGGAAATGATATGAGAGAAAGAGCTGAAAATGCGCGAAAAACACAAAAATAATTAAAATGAGTACCTCGGACTTGTTCAAAAATTACCAAACTTCGTATATGAGGACCTATTAGCACTCTGAAGGGACTGCAAAAGACCAGATGAAATTCCGAGCAGTGGGTGGAAAGATGTGCAAAAGGGTATCCAAATGACAGCAAGAGCAGCAACATCTGGTTACAACTTTGTGTTGCATCTGGTGCTTTGGGAGTTCATTTTGCATATCTTTCCACCCACTGCTCGGAATTTCATCTGGTCTTTTGCAGTCCCTTCAGAGTGCTAATAGGTCCTCATATACGAAGTTTGGTAATTTTTGAACAAGTCCGAGGTACTCATTTTAATTATTTTCGTGTTTTTCGTGCATTTTCAGCTCTTTCTCTCATATCATTTCCCCCAGGCCTCGGATCCTCATCCGTCACTACTGAAACATGCTAAGGGACACTCTCCTGACCCGAACGCACCATCAAATGAGTGCGATATGTGGATTTGGTAAGTATATAGATAGATACTGATGTGGAGGATTACCTCCTCCTTCTCCCCTTAATAACTTTACACAGAATCATCCCCTTGCTCTCACAAGTACCTTGTTCTGCTCCTATCCATTTATTGTCATTTATCATGATTTTACATTTGCCAATATCCCCCCTCCTGGAGGTCAATAGAATATTTCAGCTCGTGGGAAATCGGTCAATAACCCAGCTTCAAGGCAATATAAAATTATGATAAAATATGTTAAATTCATGAATAAATATATATTATCCACATACCAACTTTCAGACTTTCAGAGGTACGTTTAGTGGGGTATCCAGAGTGGGTCTCCTGGTGTACCTATACCCCCTCAGATATACTACACCCAGACACCCCCTGGCATTATCAATGGTACTATTACTCTCAGACATGTATTCCATAATTTTTGGCCAAGCTAGATGGCCCTAAACATGCCTGAGGATGCATGGGTGCACCATGCATTATAGTGGCCAAAACTGTGTTCGTCATATCTCAATGAGTTCTCACCCGTTTCATGCGATCAAAGGGTCTACATGAAGGCATCAATGTACCCAACATTTCGCTTAGCTTTGGCTGAGCAAAACAATGCAAGGGGGAGCCAGAATTATGCATGGATGTGCAGGCATCACAATATTGCCAAATTTGGCAAAGCGCATCAAACCCTGCTGTGCACACTATTCCTGGCTGTGTGGCGCACCTCATAAGTCATAATAAATACTCAAAATATTCATGAAGCACCCTCCACCATGGATACAAAGGTCCCCAAAGTTTCACAGCGAAATATTAAGTTTTCAATTTGTTATTCAATTGTTTTGTATTAAAAATGCAAAAGTCTCTGGATTTTTCGCGTTTTTGGCTCCCCCAGCCCATCCCGCACCCCGTGGGGGCCATGACAATTATTAGCATGCATATTTAGCCCTGCCCAACCATTTTTAGGCCTCTGCCGCACCCAGAACCCACCCTGCCATCCCACTAGCCCCTATCATGCATCCCCCACCATCCCTGCCTGTTTCGGATGGATTTCCCATGCCTTTCCCACCCTTCCCACCCCCCACAGGCCTACCCTACCCCCGCCCCACCCCCGGGAGGGTTGTTTGGTCATTTATTTACCCCCTCCCGCCCCCAAACAAATCCCTATGGCCCCAGCATCCCCGGCAAACTCACCCCAGCAGCCTTGGAAAACCTGACTGCTTAATCACAGTCCTGATCTATGAGTTCACACTGGCTAAACACAGCGTTTGATATAGAATTATAGCTGACATGGCTGGACTGAAGATGCTGGATTGATTCTGACTCATCTCGTGTGAGCGGGGTGGGTTAAGGGTCTCCAGACTAGTGCGCTGGCTTTTGACATCACACAGTTCTTCCCTTCTATCAACCATGAAATGTTCATGGCTGTTCTTTGCAAGCAAGGGTTCTTGCCAATCTTGGTGGATTTCTTTGCCTCATATCTTGTTGGTCGTTCCACAGTTTACTGTTGGAACACCTTCCAATCCAACTCACGTTCTGCGAACATGGGTGTTGGGCAGGGCTCAGCTCTCTCGCCTGTTATTTCTGGGCTGTTCATTGCTCCAGTAATGAAGCTCTTCTATCACCTGTAGTGACCAGCAATATGTATCAAATTGGACTACTACCCAGTACCTATTATGCATCAGGATGGGTAATAGCCCGTTGGGCAACTGCCCAAGCCCAGCTTATAGAGGATGTAACAAGATGATTAATAATCATTCCTTTTTGGGAAAAAAGTATCTGGGCTTGTGGAGCACCTTTGGATGATCCTGAATCAAGTTGTTTGATGCCATCAGCTGCTCTGGTTGGCGAGAAAAACGCGAATTACTGAGAAAACGGGTCATCTTTTGCAAATTTTGGCATTATTTGGCTTATATCTTGTCATTGATGGAGCCAAATAGGTCGTGCTGATGGTGGCGGGGTCCATCTTGGCCTAGGGTTTCTATTTCAACCATTTCTTCCCAAAAAGGAAATTTCTCATGGTCATGTGACCTCTCAATTTCGCTTTTTGGGCACTCCTGGTCTCTGTTTAGATAGAGCTAAAGAGGACTTGAGCAAATTTTTGCAAAGTCCAACTTGTCACATGTGACTTTAATATTGATGGCATCTGCAAACTTGATGGCTTTATTGCTCTTCATCAATGCCAAGTCTGGGCCTGGCAATCATGTATTTATTAATTGTTTCTATTTGAGGCCATAATATCAAAGTTTCAGAGGCTGACCCTGAAGGAAAAGGCAAGTAAAAAGTCATATGACCTGCCATCAACCTTGGCATCAGTCACATCCCTCTCCTACAACAATGATGTCTCTCTATGTTCTTGTGAGACATCTTGGGCAGTTGCCCAATGGACTACTACCCATCCTGATGTATAATAGGTACTGGGTAGTAGTCCAATCTGATATATATCACTAGATGACAAGGCTGCTTCTATATCAAAGTGGCACTGCTCAACATGATGCCACTCTCCTTCATGGATGATGGGACCATTCTGGCCCAGTCTAAACAACTTGATGATAATAATGTGGGCCTATGGAAGGCCTATAAAATTATTTACCTCCTCTTTGTTGCTTTCGCGCTCATTCTTGAACATGACAAGACCAAGCTGTTTCACTTCTCGCACCGTTGCGATGCATATAATCCTTCGCTCGATCTGGGGTATGCCCCACACACAGGCAATACACCTCTTAAGCCCAAGACCTATTGGAGGTACTTGGGCTTCTACTTCGACTGCAGGCTCACGTTCCATGAGCACGTTCGCTACTATGCCACCAAGGCATTCACCACTGTGCAGGCCATGCGCATGCTCAGGAACTCCACCAGAGGACTTTTGCCTAAACAGCGACGCCTCTTGTATAGATCGTGTGTGGTCCCTATTGCCACATATGGCTACCGTCTCTGGTACTTTCATGGTGCCTGTAACAAAGGCACCATGAACCAGCTCAAACAGATGCAGCAGAAAGTTGCTCTATGGATTACAGGTGCCTTCCGCACCTCACCTACAGGCGGTCTTGAGGCCTTGGCAGGTCTCATCCCCATCCACCTAGTGCTGAAGAAGTTGGCAACGCATGCAGTGTATCACGTTGCTACCCTCTCAGACACTCACCTTCTTCGCTCTATGCTGGGCGAGAGACTCCTCAAATGGGCTGAACCACATGCCTGCTCAGCCACCTTGATGACCCCGACCATGTGGGGGAGAGTCAAGAGCACTGTCATGGAGGTGGATGAGTACGTCCACGCCTTAACTGAGAGCTTCAAGCCCTTTGTGCCCGAAGCTCACCCTGGTGATCAGTTACTGGACTGCTTTGTGGACCGTCTCCATTTTGACGAGTGCAATCCTACTCAGGATAGGCGCCCGTACCTCGACAAGCTCATCGCTATTACGAGAGCCGACCCATTAGTACTGGCTGCAACTGATGGCTCTGTCCCTCAGTCCAACCAGTATCAGGCAGCTTTGGCAGCCATCATCTACAAGGAACATCGTGAGCTCGAGAGGACTCACTATGTCTCTGGCAGAGTCACCGCCCCTGATGCGGAGCTCAATGCCATTGCGTGTGCAGTGCACCTTGCTGTTAAGCAGGCAAACTGCCAACATATCATGGTCTTTACTGACTCTATGGGCTCGGCCCACAGAGCAGTAGACCCTTTTGCCTGCAGTAGTGACAAGTGTTTCTGTCCACTACTGGTCCACTGGTTTGTTGTTGCCCACTATGCCCTCCTTGTCTGCCACCATGACTACTGCCTGTCTTTGCCATGTTCAATGCTTCCTTGCGCTCCGAGTTGAGATCTTCATTTTTGTAATAATCCAAAATTGTTGTCTTGTCCAACTTTTCAACAAGTAGCAAATTCGAAGAAATGTGCTTGTACTGATCAGGCAGAGCCCGAATCAGTGCCATGCATTGCAACTCTTCATCCAAGTTTTGAATAGTGAACTCTTTTGGGCGCAGATTTTGGATGTTCTGCATTGCCCTCTCAACTTGTGTGCCCGGATCTGACAGTGATTCCCCACTCCCAAGTGATATGTTGAACAGTGCTTCATAAGCATTGAACCTAGCACCAGGCCACTTTGTAGTGTGTGCAGTTTCCAAAGATTTCCACAACTTTACTGGATCCTCTTCATGCCCTCGGAAATGTACCCTCTGCTCTTCCTCAACAAGGAGATAGATTTCTCCTGCAGCTTTCTCTGCTTTCTGATCCCAAGTGTCTGCCAATGTTGCCTCTGTAGGCCTGACTTCCTTCCCACTAACCAATCTCCACAATCCATTTCACATCAGCCATGCCTTTATCTCCCCACACCACTGGTTGTAGTTTGATTTAGACAAAGGCTTGATTTTTGCCAAAGTGTCTGAAGACATCTTTGCAATTCCAAACAATTCCAAACAAGTTTGATGAGTTTTCAATGAGTTTCAAATGCTGTTAAACAGTGAGCCAACAATTTCAAGTAACAAGCAAACACAGGTATCAATCAGCACTTGCACAAGTTAGAAGCCGGGGCCCATAACCTGTTAAACTTATGCAACGAAGTGGATAGTGATACACTGATCACACAACAATCACAATAAGTGCAGTAACCAATGATAAGGTGAATAATCAAGTGTACTGCGAGTTTAAGCCAACAGTTCAATCATAGTGTACCTGCTTCCAGGACATGGTTGGAAATCCGACCTGTTTGGTCGAATTGTGCACTGGCGCCTCCAAGCGTGGGTGGACATCCAGAAACCATGCCTAGAGCGAGAAACAAGTCTAACAAAGTATCTACTGAAGCTACAGAGACGAAACAAGTATGTATGAGTTCAGAACAACGAGACGAGATTAACTATGGAACAAACACAATGAGAATCAATGTGTGCAACGAGATATTAATGAAATAAGATCTATCTACAATGTCCATGAAGTGTCCATTTAGAGTCCATGAAGTGATTTCTCACTAATTCTAACAGTCCACACCTTAACTGAGAGCTTTGAGCCATTTGTGCCTGAAGCTCGCCCTGGCGATCACCTACTGGACCGCTATGTGAACCGTCTCCACTTTGACAAGCGTGATCCTGCTCAGGATAGGCGCCCATATCTTCACAAGCTCATCGTGAATGGGGCTGACCCTTTAACAGTACTGGCTGCAACCGATGGCTCTGTTCCTCAGTCCAACCAGTATCACGTGGCCTCAGCTGCCATAATCTACAAGGGACATTGCAAGCTTGAAAGGACTCACTATGTCTCTGGCAGAGTCACCGCCCCTGATGCGGAGCTCAATGCCATATCGTGTGCAGTGTGCCTGGCTGTCAAGCAGGCAAACTGCCAACATATCATGGTCTTTACTGACTCTATGGGCTCAGCCCACAGAGCAGTGGACCCCTCCATACACACTGGTCAGGCTTTTAGTCTGTCAGTCTGTCACGCTCTCCAAGAGTGGTTCGAGGCGGACAATCTCCACCACATCACCTTCGTCTACATTCCATCTGCTCTGCGGTGGGACATCCATGGTGAGGCACACAAGTACATCACCAAACTTAAAGTCAGGATTGGACACCGCAAGATGGACAACTCTATAGACACGCTGCGCTCTCGAGCCACACACTCAGTCCTGGACTTGTGGAGTTCCACTTTCCAGGATCCAACTTACCGAGGCTCTGAATTCCTAGAGCTTCAATGGCCTGATGGGCAGCTGATACAGCCATCGTACCTCAATGGGGGACCCTGGCTCTCAACATTCGGACACAGTATCACTGAGTTTGCTCACGTCTGCTGGAGCATAACTGGCCACACACCCATTGGAGTGTATTACCATCGCTTCAAGATTAATGAGCCTCACAGCTGCACCTGCGGGGCTGCATTGCAGTCTCGCCAGCACGTCCTCTTTTGCTGCCACGATAGATACTCTGTACATTATCCCGTTTTCTCAGGGATATTGCATCGTTTCTGAAGCACAACCCTACGGCGTTTGGCTTCAACCGGGACCCCTTGGGTGTTGGATAATTGCTGCGGGCAGAGTTATTCCTCTGGAGACCTGTGTCCACAACTACTTCTTCACGCTTGCAGCCTGCTATTATTGTGGGTTGCAGCGCTGCTAACTTTCTGTGTCTGGTTTCAGGCAGGCGCTTCTCTGGATGTTCGGCCTCAAGACACCCTGCCACCTCCAGGGTGGTGCTGTTTTATCTCATTTGCACTGCGTGGCCTCCGAACAGCGTCCAACGACTTTGGGGTTTAGCAGGGCCTTGATGGTCTCCTCCCCTTATCCTGTGTCACTGTTTTCACAAGGTGGGTTTGGCTTTGTGGGAGTTTAGGTGTTTGAGCCACAAGGCTCGTGGTTGGAGGAGCGGTTGTCTTTTAGTAGTTAACCTAGTATCCAGGCTGCGTAGTGTACATCTTTGCAGATAGTGAGCCAGCTGCCATCGAGCACCGCTATATAAATTGTTGATCAAAAAAAAAAAAAAAAAAAAAAAAAACAGGATCATCATCAATACCATCAAAGTGAATGTGCTGCTCTTCCTCAACAGAGAGGGCTAAAGCACCAGCAGCACGGTCCACCTTGATCAACCATGCATCTTCTGCAATCAAATCTGCTCCAGTGGCAGGAGAAGCAAGGACAGGTGCAGATTGCTTCCCATCAACAATGTGCCACAAACCAGCAGCACGGAACCGCCTGAGGCAGTCATGTCCTGTTTCCAAGTGTTATAGTTGGTAGCATTGAGTTTGGGGAATGTGGGAAGCAAGACTGATGAGGACATGGTGATTTCGGATGAAATAATGATGGTAGATGAATGAACTGTATGGGAAGTGGAGAGGGGACATGTGAATATATCCCAAAATGAGTTATGCAATGTTCTCTACACTAGGTGATCTGCAAACTTGCAAATGAAGTTGAAGTCTAACTAGAGTAGACTAACAAAAACAAAATTGTAAGGTAACCTGGAGTCCAGACAGTTGTTCCAGGGGAGACTCAGCTCTAATTGTTAGAATTGGTGGAAAATGGGAAAGATGAGGAAACACCTAAAACACCTAAAGGGGGAGACACAGACACCTAATGACCACAACAGAAGTATGAAGTACAACGGCAAGTTGCATTGTCTGAGAAACTACTGATTATGTACATGTGCACATGAGCCAACCAGGGTCACATGACCAAATCTAACACTCCCACCAGTGAATGTGCACAGCTCCCACTGAAACTAATCTAGGTAGGCTCTCACCTAATCTACTGAATGCAAAATGTCCACCAAAAATCATATCAAAAGAGGACCCGGACCTTCACCTGGATGGTAAGCTGATGCATAACCACCTCGTTCCTGATCTTGAGATGCTGATAACCTGGAATTGAGGACCCACTCCTTGACGCGTTGGGGCATGTTATACATGCATCGTGCGGCTATGTGTCCTGATTGACCACATCGATGACAAACTCCATCCCAATCAGTATCACACCAACGTAAACCCTTGTCATCAATCTGACTCCCAAATTGAGAGTTGCCACCTTGAGCAGCCAGGACACCATTGATTGGCTCACTTTTGATGTTGACACCATTTGCGGCTGATGAAGTGGTGAGGATTGTCTTGACTCGTTCTTCTGAGTTATGAGTTCTTACATAAGTAAGACTTGTTCTTTCAACCTGGGATGCAGAGATCATTTTACTTTCCCACGTTATGGTCATCCATGCTTTTTTTCCCACAGTAAGTATTACATTGATGGCATAGCTACATTTTCAATAGTTCACTACATTTTTACTGGCTATTGTAGTAATGCTCTTCTTGCCCTCTGCAAAATCAAAATCACCAACCTCCCTTGCTCACTGTGGCCCTCTTTCACCCTTCCAACCTAACCCCTAGCATCATCCAACAACAAGCCCTGGTGCCCAAATGATCCTGGACTTCACAGTGCAGCACCATTCATGCTTGTTCAGCCACTGCTGCCTGCTCTACTCGCCCCATGACCACCTGCTCGCCCTCCTCACCCTCTGCCTCTTGCCCCTCTCAATAGGCCTCAAAAACAAAGAACGATGGTGAACCAACATGCCCCTTCTTGCCCTTCCCCCCTTGCTCTTGACTTCTGCCACCACCACCCCCTTTTCTTGCCCCTCTGACGCCCCTCACCCATCCCAATGGCCTTCAAGGACTCCAAAGGATGCCGAACAAAGAGGTTGGGTGATGTTCATGCTCATTCTGTGTTCCACCCACCTGCCCACCCAGCACCATCCACCTCTCACTTTCCACCCCTATTACTCCCCCTTCTTGCCCCTCTGACACCCCTCACCTGTTTCAATGGCTGCCAAATACAAGGAATGATGCCAAACATGGAGATTCAGTGGCGTTCACACTGGTTCTCTGCCCTGCCCACCCCATCTCGCCCTCCTACCCTCACTCTCACCTTCCACCACCACCACCCCCTCCTCACACCCCTCCAATGCCCCTCGCCCATCCAAACAGCCCCCAAAGACAATGAACAATACCAAACACAGAGGTTGGGTGTCATTTGCACTTGTTCTCTGTCCTGCCCGCCTGCCCACCCAGCACCGCCTGCCTCTCATCTTCCACCCCCACCACCACTGCTTCTCACTCTTCCAATGCCCTTGCCCACACAAACAGCTACCCAGGACAACAAACAACACCAAACTTTGACATTCAGCAGCATTCGCA